TCCACATAGGGCAGGTGCAGAAGCACCCATCTGTAACCCCAGCATTCCTACAGTGAGGTGGGAGGCAGAAATAGGTCTCTGGGAAGCTCCCAGGCTACCTAACCTGACATGTACAGTGAGGCACACTGTCTCAAACAAGGTGGGACTCAAACTACAGGGACTGACACAAGACGTTGTCTTCTGACCTCTACACACGCACCACGATACGTACTCACCCACACTTACACTAGTGTGTGCACGCGCATGTGCAGACATACACACACACGCACACACGCACACACGTAAGCATGCACACACAAAGACAAAGAGGTCGATGAGGTTATACTTATAAGCAAGAAACAAAACAGATCCAGTGACTGGAGAAGATCAAATTGAGATTCATCATGCACAGGGAAAAAAAAGGCAAACATCAGATAAGGACACTTGTCTGGGGAGAAAAAAGAGTTTCAAGAAAGCATCTATTTACTCGTATCCGCTCCCTTCATTTTCAAAGGCCCTTACGATGCACTTTACACTGTCACAGTGATGAAGCCAGAAATCCCACAGGGATTGGTTCAAGGCCGAGCTCCTGTGCAGTTTGAAGTAGTTTGTTATAGTTTATTTTTGGTTTGATGGGCTGCAGTTTGAAGTCAGGAGTAAAAGCCACATGGGGCTTCTAGGAAAGGCGTCCCCTTTCAAAGCAGCCCGGAGAATAAGCAGTTAGTCCTTTCTGCCCTTGCTTTTTTTTTTTTTTTTTTTTTTTTTTTTTTTTTTTTTTTGCCTTCCTTGCTGTTAGTAATGATTAAATTGAATTTCACATATGTTCAGGAAATAGCTACTAGATGTTCATCACTGCACACGGCATTAGGGGGATAAAAATGTAAACCTTAAGAGGTGTCTCTTGCCCTGGGACAAAAGGGGAGTCATTCTGGGAGGCCCCTGTCCTGGTGTTTTTGGGGAGCTTGCTAGTCCAGAATCCATAGAGCTGTGTCCTTGATCTCCATAGGCTTGCGTTCTGCATGCTGGATCCGTCAATATGACAGCATCATCTATTCCCATCCTAGATGGTCCCCAGCACTTCCGAGCGGAAACAGACAACCTGAAGCCTGTGTTTGAGACTCTGAAATTCCCAGTCCTTTAAACCACTACCTCTGCTGAAATTTCATGGGGATGGGGACAGTTTGTCTGACTCTGTCTTGGAAATGATATATGTGAGTGGAAGAAGACCAAAAAAAAAAAAAAAAAGAAAAAAAGCTTGACCCCCTCCCTCCACCCAAGCCATTCAAGTTCTCATTTCTTACCTTCTGAGTCATACCTTCGTAAATCTGACCTTTAGGAATTCCTTTTTTTATGTGAAACTAATACAGGAGAGTCAATAAGAAGTTTTGCATAGCCAATCTCTTCTCCTTGGGGGAGGGGGGTGGTGGGGAGTCAATCAGTTGGACACAAATTCTCCCAAATTTTAGAACAGATGGTTTTCTGAGAACTATGGAGAAAATGTGGTAATTACCCCCGGGTTAGCAAGACTCCTGTAAGAACTAACATGTGGTGCTCCAGCCTTGGGTTTTTTCCCCCCCTGTGGCCATTCTGCTGGGAAGTCAGGGGAAGGATGTGGCAAGCGGGAGGGGAACCTGTTACCCACTACCCCTAACCCCTATTAAGCACACATTCTTTGCACAGGACGTGTTCTTGGATTTCTGTGTTTGCTATTTCCCGTGGTGCTTTGTTTTTTGCCTGCTAGAGAAGAATGAGGGATCTTTCTTTCGGTGGCTTTTAAAATCCATGGGTGGTTTCATTTCCAGGATGCCTATGGTTGGCAGGACATTTTCTTGCAGTGACTTGCTGTCTATCGGTAGGACACATTGGGGTTTGGTTACTCCTGAATTGGATAGAGTGCCTTGTAACAGAGGCTGGGGAGGAATCTGTATGTGTCTGCATTTATAGAAATACGAGGAATGAGGGGTAAGTGAAGGAAATGGAGGGAACCGTTGTGGCTGTTTAGCTCCCTGGAATATCGCTTCTGGAAAAGGGCAGTGCAGAAATTAAACCAGTGTTACTTTGAAAGATGGTACCTAAAGACAAGGAAAAGAATGGGTTTGCTTTTAACGATTTCAAATAGAATTGAGGCTGTTCCTGCGATTGTTGGAAGTAAAATTGGTTAGAAAATGATGTCAGTGGAGAGTGGGGACTGTGAACCAGGAAAATAAATGAGCTCTGAAATCACCTTCTATTTTATAAATATTGTTTCTGGAGCTGAGAAAATTGAGATAGATTATTCTTTTTTCTCTCTCCCAAGCCATGGGTGGAAGAAGCCCTGAGTATCCCATTTGGACCTTGTGAGGAACATCTCATCTTGTCCTGGTGCGCTAAGTGGCTTTGTCTGCATTTAGACACACTCCATTTCCCTTTCAAGGACCACTATCAGCAGTAGCAATTACAAACACACCTCATAACACATTATTGAGACACTGCCACGCAAATAAGCTGGAGAGATGTTTAATGATTGTACCACATCGCGTCCATTACAATCTGTCCTCTCTGCTACGGGATGGAGGGGCCAGCTCTTGCGCAAGAGTGTCCCTGTGCCTGTGCGTCTCTGTGTGTTTCGTTTTCCCTGCCTCTTAATTATACGCAGCTCAAGCCCAACCAGTGCACACTTTCAAAGGAGGAGGAAGGGGCTTGGCTTCTTCACATCCCCACAGGCTCCTTTCAAGCTAGAGAACTCCGCATCTTTGGATTTCTGAAAGTATCGGTGCTATTAGCAGCCTGAATTCATCTGAGAACAAGGAATGATGTATTTTCTGACTCCATGGGTGGCGGCTTTTTGTTATCTGTTTCTTGTGGAGAAGCAAAAGGTGGGCCATTTAGAGAGATGCTATATAGGCAGTCGCTTCCTACACTCTTTCATACGCTGGTTGGGTTTTGCAGGAAGTGCTTGCCATATTCAATTCTCTCCGCCATTCCCCATTGCTGTGGGTCTTGCAGTACTGGAGTGCATTTGGCCATAACAACAGCTGTGTTGTAGGCCTGGGTGAGGCCATGGCTGACCGATAAAGCACTCGGCCTTTTCTTAGTATGTTAGCAGAGTGGAAACAGGAATGAGATAACAGCTAGGCTCAGAGGGGTATCACAGAAGGGGCACCCTTCCTTCTTGGGGATGGGGGCTTTTGACTGTATCCTACCTACTTGCTATACAAGTGGTTGTTACCGCAACTCGGGAGAGGGGCATTCCTTTCTCAAGGGCACTTGACTGGCTAATGGCAGAATCTAGCATCTTACTCCCTAGTCCAAGCCCTTTGCAAATGTAAGCTGTGCTGCCTTTGCTTCTGTGAAGTGCAGAGCTCAGTAGGGAGCAGGGAGCTGCCAGTAGAGATGCTGGGAGCCTCCTGGACCCTCCAGCCATGACGATCACCACTGAGCATGCAAATGTTGTATGCTTTTGTATAGTTTTCATTCTCCAAGGACACTGACTCCCTTCCACAGAGACTCGCAAGAGAGGGCATTCAGTTTCAAAGGATTGTTTTTATCAAAGGATTTTTTTCCCCTCATTTTTTTTTTTTTAAAGAAGCACTCAAGATTTCTACTAGTGTTGCCTTTCAGATGTTCTGCTAAGTCTTGGGTCTTCCCTGAAGAGGTAGCATAAGGAAGACAGAACAGATCTTCATGCTTGCTTTTTCGACAGAGATGTTTTCAGCTGGATGGAAACTTGGGTTAGATCTTGGAGTGTCTGTTCATGTAGTTGAGCCTGTAATGCGTCCAGACCCCTAAACTTAGTCCCTTATGGTTCACACTTCATTCATTATGTCCTTTGGTCCTTGGCAAGTGGATTGCTTCTGAAAGCTTTTGGTTCCCATCCGTCACTTCCATTAGTAAAATCGATGTTTGTGACTGGTGTAGTGAGGGCGGAATCCTGGGATCCTGGAACCATAACGTTGCCCATCTATAGCTGGGAACCTCAGCATTCACAGTGGGTCAGAGGCAGGAGCCTGCCTGGGTGTTTCCTGAATCACACTGCCTGGCTGAGGGAGCTTGTGTTTGCTCACAGCGAGGCAGATGGTGCCAAGTAGTGCATGTTCCTACTGCTACTTTAGCAGCCAGCAGAGAAACGAGACAGGGCAGCTAACAAATTGGAATTTCGGAGAATCTGCTCTGTCTTTGTGTGTTGAGGGTGTGTTGCTGGGAAGGCAGTAAGACTCTGGGATAAGAGTATATATTCCTGAGGAAACGGCTGGCCCTGCCTGGTGGTCTGCGTGAGATCAGGTCTCCAGCCTTGGGCAGAGGGTGGGGGGAGTAAAGGGAGTGCTGATGTGTGTGCTTTGTGTGTGTGTGTGTGTGTGTGTGTGTGTGTGTGTGTGTGTGTGTGTGTGCCTGCATGCCTGCCTGCCTGCCTGCCTGCACAAGCAGGCGCGCGCGTGCTTCTTGCAAGTGCCCACTGAAACCAGAAGAGGGCGTTGGATTCCCTGGAACTGGGGTTACAGTTGTGAGCTGCTATGTGGGTGCTGGTAATTGAACCTGAATCCGCTGGAAGGGCAGCTAGTGCTCTTAACCACTCCAGCCATCTCTCCAGTTCCCCCCACCCCAACCCCGCACCTCGTCCTTCTGAGGGAGCCTTCTGGTCTGTGCATGGATTCCTGTGTTCCCCTGTGAATGAGTTACTAGCAGTGTCTTTAAAAGTGGGCTGCTGCGTGTCAACCCAGGCTATCCCCTGAGGAATGGGCCCAGTGGCCTAATCTCTGATTGCAATGATCTGTCCACAGACTTGAATGAAATCCGAGAAGGGCCTTGCAGAGGTCCCTAAGGACCTCAGGAACCGGGGTATACGGCACTTGGTGTCCTTGTCCAGCCTTGTTGGGGACTGGCCTTCTCCTTTAGCCATTGATCCCATCCTGTGAGCACAGTAGGACACAAACAAGGTTCTCAGGGTTAGTTAGGCTTTATTGGCTCCACTGAAGGCTGAATGAGAAGGGCCTTGGGTGCCTCTGGTCCTCTTCAACCAGGGGAGAGCAGGTTCCACAAGGGGTTCCCAGGGTTCAAGGCAGGAGAACACACCTGGCCTCCGGCCAGCCAGCCCTTCAAGGTGTTTCTGTGACTTCCCAAGGTCTGAGAAGTCCTGGTAGAGAGGGTGGGGTTTGAAGGGGGTGTTCCAGAGGGTCTCCGTTGCTCTGGAATTAAAATGGCAACTTTTGGGGAATAGATTCTGGAGACACAGACCTCCTTGGGACAGGACACGACCGGGGCTTTGGGGAGACAGTGACCCGTCTTGGTGCCTGAGGTGAAGACCTGAAACACTGGTTGGATTTTGTTGATTGGAGGCCTGCAGACCTGAGGCTCTCCTCCCGGGAGAGTGTGCCTGTGACTTGAGCTGCTGGTACCTGGGGTGCAGGCCTTTGGCTCCGGAGGACCTCTCTGGGACGCCTTGCTTCCTGCCGCTTTTTTTTCTGGGAGCAGATGCAAGGCTTTGGCCTGGCCAGGAGGCAAGCGGAGGCTGAAGCCAATGCCTAAGCGGAGAGGCCCAGATTCCTGGCCCTCTGCACGGGGCAGTAGTTGAGGGAAGGCAAGCAGCCTCGGCTCAGTCTTGTGCTTGGGGGTGGGGCAAGACGGGGTGCGGGGCTGGAGGCACGCTAGACAAATGGGGTACTCCACGATTGGAGGCTGGCCGGTTGTGCCTAGCCAGAGGTGCTGCAGAAACAGTATCTTCAGGTCTCGGGCAATTCTGCGGCGCCCCACAAGGAGCGCTAGCGCTTGGGCGAGGGCCTCTGGGTCCTGGAATTCTGCAGGGTCCAACTTGCTTGCCATGCATCCCTCTGCCGCCCCAGGGGACCTGGTGTTTCCGGATGGCGGCCCCTGCCCTGTTTGTTTGTGACTGGGAATCCCTGGAGAAGGTACGCTGGGGCTGGGGGAAGTGACCCTGGTGGAATTGTGAAGGTCCTGGAGGTGGGAAGGAGACTGGCAAGAGCCAGGAGAGGAATTCTGCAGCTGGGAAAGAGAAGAGGAGCTGCTAAGGGGAGGAGAGAGGCACAGCCCGTCGTTGCGGGGAGAGGATGTGTGCGGAGAGGGGAGACGAGAGCAGTTTTGGCCAAAGAAAGTGGGGGGACTTGGGAGAGAGGAAGAGGAGGGAAGAGGGACAAAGTCAGAGTTGGAGTCCGAAGAGTATAAGTGAGGCCCAGGAGAGCGGGACTGGGGCGACGAGGAGACGGGGGAATAGGCCTGTGAGGGAGAGGGCAAAGGTAGGTGGGAAGGAGGGAGGGTCAGATGGGGAGAGAGAGACGCTAAGTTGGATGGACGGGAGTCCACAAATTGTGAGAGGACCTGAGGGGAACACCCTGGGGGCACTGCGTTCTGTAAGGGCACCTGGTGGTCCTTGTTTTGAGGCAACATTGCCTGGAATCCGGGAAAAAAAAGTGGGTGGGGCAACAAGACCAGTGAGTAGAGACCTAACAGAGTCAGTGTGGGGATCTCTGAGGCCAGTTGTGGCTGGTGATCAGCAGCGTGGCTGCTGCTTAGTTTTGCTGCAGGCGTCAGCAGCAGGCCAAGGGAGCACGACGCCTCTTCCGCTTGACTCTGACGTGCTCTGTCCGGAGCCTGCCTCTAAGCTTGGCTCTTCAATTTTTCTTAGCCGTTCGCCAGGGACGTAGGGAAATGGGGAATGAGAGCTGTCCCTTGGGAGCCAAGGGACAACTGCAACTACGTGGGTAGAATCCGGAGGAAGACACAGTCCGAAGGACCTGCAGAGAAAAAGACAGAGGTCAAGACAGTGGAAGGGTTGGTCCACTTCTGGACTCGGCTTCAGGTGCACGGTGCCAGTGTGAATGCATCAAGCCCCTAGATGTGAGATCTCTGGGTGTGGCTCAGCCTAGCATGCATAAAGTCCTGGGGTTGATCCCCAACACCACATAGTCGTGGCCTGCTGGCACGAGCCTCTAATCCCAGCAGGGACACAAGGAGATCAAGGCCAGCCTGGGTTATGTGAGTCTGTCTCAAAATAACAACAAAGACACTAGCTGTGTGTCACCTTTGAGGTCAGAAAACCTGGCAAGATGCTCTAGAGAAGGTGAAGAAGTGGAGGAGATTGGAAAGATAGAGCATAGGATAGCGTCAAAAGAGGCGGCTTAGGGCCGTAGGGACCAAGACGGGAAAGGAATGGAGAATACTGGGCAGTGACTTTTACCAACGTGGATTCCTTCCGCTGTTTCCAAAGACACTTCTTCAAATAGGGGACCTGGGAGAGAAAGCAGAGTCACACAACAGTCCATCTACCCCCTCTGCCTCCAGCCTCTGACCCCTTAAACAGACTCTGACCCACAATTCCAGTCTGAGTGGTACCCTCCGTCCTTTTTTTTCAACCAGAGCTCTTCTGTGGAACAGGGTTTTGCCCTTCTAACCCTGACACACAGACTTTGTAAGCATCCTGATTTCCTGGCATACTGGCTCCCCTGGCCTCTTGTCACCCTTCAGAGTGGTGTCCCTCTCGCTCAGCCTGGCCTTGGCTGAGATGATTGTCAGACCCAGGGGCAGCAACAGTAGGGTCAGCTGGTAAAAGGCTCCAAGATTCGGAAGCTTTGCCTAAGGGGCGGCATTGCCGCCCCCAGTGGGAGCTGAGGGGCTCATTCCCTGGAAGCAGTGCTCTCTGGCATCATAGGTCACAGAGGTCAGATAATGACATCATAGATTCTGTCCTCCCCTCCCCCAATGCTCTGGATCTCCACCCCCTCCCTCCCTTCCTCCCGCTCTCTCCCCTCTCTCTCCTCTCCCCCTTCTCTCCTCTCCTCTTCTCTCTCTCTCTCTCTCTCTCTCTCTCTCTCTCTCTCTCTCTCTCTCTCCCCCCCCCTCTCTCTCCTTTCTCCTCTCTTTTGCTTTTGTTTTATGAGACAGGGTTTCTTTTTGTAGCCCTGGCTGTCCTAGAACTAGCTCTGTAGACCAGGCTGACCTCCAACTCACAGAGATCCACCTGACCTCCAACTCACAGAGATCCACCTGTCTCTGCCTCCCAAGTGCTGGGATCAAAGGCATGTGCCACCACCGCCCAGCTGTTTTGGTATAATTATCAAGTAGACAGAATTGATGCAGACCCATGAACCTAGCTCCACCCCTAATGCTCATGATCACTCCCCAGGGGGCTAAGCCTTCCAGCTTCCTCCTTGGCTTGCTTTCTAAGGAAAGCTGTCTTCCACTCTCTTCCATCCTTGGAATATTATATGTTTTAATAGCTGTTTTTGAATATTTTGTTTATTTAGATGTATGTGTTTCTGTCTGTGTGTATCATATGCGTTCATGTGCTTGTGAAAACCCAAAGAGGGTGTTGGATTCCCCTAGAGCTAGAGTTTTAGACAGTTGTGAGTTGCCTGACATGGGTGCTGGGAACTGAATTCCAGGTCCTCTGCAAGAGCAGCCAGTGCTCTTAACTGTTGAGCATCAATTCAGCCCATAGCTGTTTTCTTTTCTTATTATCTTATTAAATTGTTTATTTATTTACTTCTTTTATGTGCATTGGGGTTTTGCCTGCACATGTGTCTGTGTGGGGATGTCAGACCCCTGAAACTGGAGTTACAGACCGTTGTGAGCTGCCGTGTGGGTGCTGGGAGTCGAACCCAGGTCCTCTGGGAGAGCAGCCAGTGCTCTTAACCACAGCGTCATCTCTCCAGCCTAGCTGTTTTCTGAACACTGTATGTGTGTGTTCATGTGTGTATACACATGTGTGTGAGTTAATGTACACATGTGTGTATGCATGTGGAAGCTAGAGATTGCTCTCGGGTGTCTGTCTAGTTACTTTTCCATGTTAGTTTTTGAGACAGGAGCTCGCACTGGGCCTGGGATTTGTCAGTTCATTTCCTTCATCTAGGCAACCTAGCCAGTGAATTCGCGGATCTGCCATCTTTGTGTGGGGCGTGGGGCTGGAAAGGATTGCTGAAGATCAGTAAACCTTGAATTAAAAGGTTCTCGAATTGGGACGGTCCTCACTGCAGGAGGGATGCATGGACTTGTAGAGGCCAGGACCTTTTATGTGTTACTCCGGAGAGGAAGTGGTTTCTCCCAGGGCACAGCGAGGGCAGGGACTCCAAAACAAAGCTGGCTTTAAATCAGATCCACCGCTTCCTAATATCCTAATAGGAAGAAATCACCACCACCACCCCCGCTTTGATAGCATCCTCCGCAGCTGATTGGGCTCTTTCTCGTGGCTTGACACCCGCTTCTGGAACAGAGAAGTTAGGGGTGGCGGTTGCTCCTCGGCAGGTGTCTTCTGTGTTCTGTGCCTGGTACCTCACTCCCACTCCTTCTTAGAGTTGTTTTATTTTACTCTATCTCCGTCTCTCTTGTGCATGCATGCGTGGTGTGTGTGTGTGTGTGTGTGTGTGTGTGTGTGTGTGTGAGCGTGAGTGCGCGCGTGCTTCTTGCAGGTGCCCACTGAAACCAGAAGAGGGCGTTGGATTCCCTGGAACTGGGGTTACAGTTGTGAGCTGCTATGTGGGTGCTGGTAATTGAACCTGAATCCGCTGGAAGGGCAGCTAGTGCTCTTAACCACTCTAGCCATCTCTCCAGTTCCCCCCACGGGCATGCACGCTTGCACATGCATGTGCATGTGTGCTTATGCATGTCTAACATGATCAGCACCACAAACAGTGCTGGAAGTTGCACTGTTGGGAAACACTTTCTGACAGCAGATGGTTGCATGGTCTCTGTCTTCCACCCTTTGCCTTGATGGTTTTAGCAGAAGCTGGCAAAATGCCCAGCATTCTCCACCCCCGCCCCCAGCCAGGTCTGCAGTAGGAAGACTGAGTCTCAAAGGGACCATTTTTAAGATGTGTTGAGTCCATGGAACAGGTCCACAGGACCTCAGGGATGAGGTGCCTAGTGGTACAAAATAATCCTTTTGCTTTCTCTTGGATTCTGTTTCAAAAATAACAGGAAAATAGTGAAGCCCTGGAGGGTCATTTTCAGTGGCATTAGAGGATCAAATATAATTTTTGGAATCTGAAATAAAGGCAAGGGCTAGCTAAATTTGAGATAGGCTGTGAGGGAGACATGAGGAAGTTTAGATAGGAGAGTGGCCAGCCAACCCAGGGGCAGGAATTGGGAGCAACTTGGAACAGAATGTATGCCATGGAGGTGTGGGTAGCAGTGGTGACATCCTAAAGACTGACAGGTATGTTATTCACCTGCCAACCGAGAGCAGGAGCTAGCGTGGACAGAAGTGAGCAAAGGCATCTTCTGGGACATTGTTTCACAGAAGCAGAGGAGCCTCAAGGCTGGAAAGAATCCTATAGAAGAGACCCATTTGCAGGAAGCGATGTCAGTGAGAACAGAAAGCGAGCCCTTCCCCTCTTCCCTCCCATTCCACCTTCTTCCTAAACGTGTTTGTTGAGACATAACATATACAGTGAAGCACCTAAATGTTTGTGAGCTTGGTGAACTTTTACATACGTGTGTTCCATGTAAACAACGCTTGGTCATGATATAGAGCCTTGTACTACCCCAGAAGTGCCCTATGCATTCGCTTCCAGGCATTAGCTTTCCCTATAAAGAAGGCTTTATTTAAGAAAAAAAAAATACTGGAGGTCTTCCCTCATCCTTCTTCCCATCATAGGAACTTTCTGCAAAGAAGTCGTCCAAGAAAACCTCCCTCATGTAACATCAAATAATAGAAAGAAAAAAAAAAGAAATTGAACCATTGGTAGAATAGACAGACACAATAGTATTAAAGAGGAAATGTCAGTAAGAGCCATGAAAGTTAGCCCCGAATCAGGAAGGATGCTAAGGAAATGTTCTCAGGGAACAGGCAAAACATGTAATCAACAAATTTAGAGAACTCAACGAAGAAATCATTTTCGTGTGTGTGTGTGTGTGTGTGTGTGTGTGTGTGTGTGTGTGTGTGTGTGTGTGTGTGTGATAAAAGACCACAGAATAGAAGCACAAATTCCAGAAGGGATAACAGGAAGCAGTGAGATGCAAGCTGGCAGGACTCAAGAATGAGAGAAGAGGGAAAAGGCAGCGGTGTCTCAGCAGCCAAGATTCAGTTGTAAGGCTCTCGAGGGAAAACAGACACTGTGGAAATACACTGTGGAACGTGGATGATGCAACCGAGAAAGGTGGATAAACGCAGTGGAAACTAGGGACGCATCAACAGTGACTAGAGGGACGATGATAGGTATAAAAGGTGGGCAGTAGGGATCTAGTATAAACATGATGTTGTGTTGTCCCTGAGGGCAAACACAAAACAATAGACTAGAACAAGGACTTAGGGTGTTAATTAGAAAAGCTTTCATGGAAATAAGGAGATTTAAATCTAAATGTCAAAAGGGCATATTTTTGGGTGCCAGGGAAAGTTACCCAGAACAACCGGAAGCTTGCAGAGATCACCTGTAGCGGATAATTCCTTTCTGACACCCTCTTCCCTCCTTGTAGAAGCCAGGTGGAGGTGGCAGGCAGGGCATTGGATAAGGATACCAGGGGTCATGTTTTTCATGTATGAGAAAAGCTTTATACACATAAGAAAAAGGCTAGGAATAATCTGGGATGTTATATTGGAATCAGAAATCTTGGTGTAGATGCAATGTTCCTAGTTCTTTCTGCTGAGAAGGCCCAAGGGAGTGGAACTCCAGGAGCAATGAGAGCACACTGAATCTTCTTGTTTTCTAAACTTTGTCGTACGCTACAAGTCACCAAGAGTCACAGAAAAATGGCTGGAAAGGAGGATGTCGGGCATCCTACACATGGGATGTAGAAGATAGGGCATGCAGAAGAGACAGTGTGGAAGGAACCTGATTTATAATGTTATACCAAAATGTCAGAAAGTGCTTAAGAAAAGCTAGAGTTGTGTCCAAGAGCTTGAAGGATTCCCCATCAGATAAATTGGATTGGTATGAGCATTGAGTTAAATAAGGATATAGATTATGGCCCTGCTGACTAGAATAGACACCTGAGAGCCCATACTGTTAGGAGTGAATCAATGAATGAACATCCAGGTGAATAAATAAGAAAACACATGAGTGTAGCGGGAGAGCTTCTCTCCAGGTCCCACCAAGCCCCTGCAGTCCCACAACCCACTTATAAAATAAACACACAGATGCTTATATTATTTAAACTGTTTGGCCTAATGGCTCAGGCTTCTTGTTAACTGTTCCTATATCTCAAATTAACCCATT